GGGGGGGGGGGGGGGGGGGGGGGGGGGGGGGGCAAGGACAAATCAATATGCTGTGCAGCAGCAATATGCTGTGCAGCACTACAATTGAATAAGACCGTAGTCATTTTGTGTAGCACAACAAACTTCCTGACATTTGGTTGACAACATGGAAATGATTCACGTGTTCATTTACATACAAAGTGTTGAAGTTAGATCTGATCGAAGCGGTCACTCAAGACGCATTTTAATGTAGCTCTGTCCCCCACCCCCACCCCCATGCAAAAATACTTGTCTGACTGACGTATGCTCTTAGGTTTTTATTTTTATTTATCTGTGTGTTTTGTTTCTCATGCAAATGTACTTTCTGCAATTTGTTTATAATGCCTGTGCCTGCGGCAACCCAATTTGCCCATATTGGGACATAATAAAGTTGAAGTGAAGTGAAGTGACTTGCGGTTGGACCACCCAAGACGCATGATAATAGCAGGTGTAAACAGGCTCACAAACTGGTCATCCTGGTGTAAAGCAGCAGGCTGCACTGGTTTCGCATTCAGAGGCACTGGTGGGCAGGTGATCAGGTTTTATCTGAGGAAGTCCTGATAGAAAGCAGAGAGGTCTGAGGCATGCTTAGCTTCAAATTATAAAGTACATAATTGCTTCTCAAAATTAGGGCTGCAACTAACAATTATTTTAATTATCAATTCATCTGGTGATTTTTTTGGTTGTTTGTCATTATTTATAGACTAAAGGATTAACTGATTAAGCATCTTAAAATAAAGAAAAATGCCAGTCACAATTTCCCTTGGATTTACAATGCTGTTCAATAGAGCAAAACTAAGACATACTTACATAGAAGAAGCTCGAGCCTGTAAATGTTTGACATTTCAGTTTTGAGAAAGGGATCAAAAGTGTTTTTGTAATCAATCAACTTTCTTTTTTAAATGTAAAATCACTCTCTTTCAGCCCATCTTTTCAAACCTCTTTTAGTGCATTTTACACGGTATTGTGTATGTGTTATATAAAATACAATTATGCACAAGCAGGGACTACTGAGAACTCTCTGTGAGGAGTCTGATGTTCTCCCACTGTCTGCATGTGTTTCCTCGGGGTGCAAGGTGAACTGGCAGCTCTGATCTGCCTGTAGGTGTGAAAGTGTTTGTTGTGTACACGTGTGTTTCACTCCTGTGATAGACTGTGACCTATCCACAGGAGTAGCCTGCCTCTTGTACAATGCATGCTGGGATACACAGGCTGAGCAGGATAAGCGGTTTATAAAATGGGTGGAGGGACTGACAATGGACACAAGAGCAAGTACAAGCAAGAAAAAAGGGGGGTGGCGGCAAAGAAACCATGCTAGAGAGGAGAGAATCTCATGCTCAAAGTGGGAAATGCACACACTGGGAGACAAACGTTCATCACATCTCATTTACCTCATCATCATCATCATCATCATCATATTCATCAAACTCATTAAATTCACCAAATACTGTCTGAAATTAAACAAAACAAAACATGTAATTGAGGCAATTATAGACAGAGAATTATATCAAGAGTGTTACACTGGCATGCAAATTAAGTTAAAGCCATAAAAACAGAATGAGTGGAAATGACATTCCCATTTAAATTAACGTATCAGGATGGTTAGAGCAGCAGCTTTTTATACTGTGTGTGTACTGTTGTCATTGTAACTGCTGTAGCCAGCTAACTTCTGTGTAAACAAACCAACTCAGTGAGGTGAGATTCTGCAGTAATGACAAACTAAGCAGTGGAGTAGTAATGTTACGTTTTCAATTACTTTAAAAATATTGCCATTTATTGTATGTTTGTTGAAACATGATGAACTGTAGCTGACTCTGAGGAATGAGTAAGAGCTGCTGCTCAGTGGACAGCTGAGAGACCGTGGGGATAAACAGCATGCAGATCAGCATGTTTTCACATCTAACTCTGTGAATTACAGGTTTACTTCAACAAAACCAGCCCTGATGATTGCTGGAAAAGTGGACTAACTAGCTAGATGACTATCAAGACTAACTGAGATGATTTAGTGAGTTTAACGTTCTATGGTTAAACCTATGGGTGCTGAAAGAAATGGAGATCTAGTCTGGAAAATACTGGTTACCTTGGCCTTTTTGCTTATAAGATGAGTTAAATATGTCACCACTTCAGTTTTGCCGACAGCCTGGGCCTGTGTCAGGTGAAGAAAGAGAAAGAGAAGCAATAAGACAGGGTTTCACTTTATAAACTGTGTCATCAAGGTGGAATACGTGTCGCTGAAGCCCACCTGTTGCAGTGCTGTCTGTCCATCATAGCCTGGTTTATTCAGATCAGCTCCAGCAAGGCTCCAGATTTCCAGGCCCTCCAGGTCACCAGTGGCTGCCAGGCTGACACACAGGAGGACATGACAGAGTTATTGCAACAAAGGACTCTGTTTGCCAAAATCACTGTTTTTCACACAATCAAACCGCCGACTAATGAAAGACAAGATGTTGTGTAAATAGACTTTTCCGAACCTGGGCCAGCACAAATGACTATATTGATAATGTTGAACCTCATGACTCAGATGTTTTCCTTTTATCTTACCACCAACACAAGCCATGCTCATCGTACCTTATGAAAGGCGTGTTCCTGAAACTCTAAATTCAAACCATCTCGACAAAACCTGTCTAGTGTCTCATGGAGATAAATAATAGGGCCGGTGTGTGGTACATTTGCCTACGCTAGAAACAAAACAGATCTGCAGCTATGCTGCTGGGGAGCATTCCTACAGTTTGTGTAACAGCGGGACGACTGGTTGAACCTGTGTCAGCTATGTAGGATGGGTCACTGTGATGATGGTTGAGCAACCAAGAAATCTGTGACTGTATATGTGTGCCATTGTTTGAAGGCATGTTTTTTGTGTGCGTCTCACCTGCACAGTTCTGTTCCTGCTTCCTCCAACTTGTCTCTGGAGAGGTGGGCTCCTGTCTTCCGCAGCAGCTTCACAACCTCCCTGTGCCTAAGTTAGTCAGAGGACATGCAACAGAGCTATGTGCTTTTTACTGCATACTATGAGCATATCATTCAGTTAAAATCAGCTGATACTGACATTATAAATTGATAAATCCTGTAAGGATAACTTCAATGTCATGTTTTCAGACAGTTTCATGCCGTTTGACTCATTCACAGTCAGTGCGGCAGTGACTGTAGTTTGGCATGTAAGAACAAGTTCCTTATCCCCTGCACTGAGCCACCCACGCAAAAGTCACCTGCATTGACACTAGTGGTGACAGGAAACTTTCAATAAAACAAAAGGCCTGAAATGGTTAACCACTGAGCAGCTGATTACATAAATAAGAGCTGAGCTTGCTATGTAATAAAGTAATTTACCGCAGAGTTCAAACTGACAAAGGTGTAGAGGTATGTAGAGGTACAGCCAAAGAAACAATTAAACTTGATTTGAAAGACTTCCTGTAAGGCGCAGAGAGCCAGTATCTCTCATCTGTGAAACTGGGAGCAGGTTGGTAGGACTGGTTCAGAGGGCACTCCCCATGCTTGTTTTTTAACCCTTCTCTCTGCCACTCCTTATATGAGCATCCGGCTGTGGTGCACTATGAGATGTCAAGTGACATTCAAAGTGCGTCAGGCATGGTGACCACCTGACACCTAAAACCCAAAACTCCAGTTCTATTAGTGTCGTCTCATGAAATACATTTAAGAAGGGCAAAGCCAGCCAGCATAGGAAGCACAAGGGCAGGTGTTTATGCTCCAATGCATCCCTCCACCATCACAAAGGAAACAGGTCTGTACTTGCAGTGCCAACCGTTAAAATAGGACAACAGCCATTTGGCACGGCTTCAACAAATACAACGTTTTCACCCTGAGGCTCAACATCGCACTAAAACTGAAGCATTAAGCGTGGCTTCTTTCCCTGATAGACATTAACAGCAATGTCAATGAATGACAAAAAATTAAAAAACAGCTTTGGTAAAAATAAACACCGTCTAAACTGTCAGATGACAATTAGCCTAATTAGTTTATAATTATTGCCTGGCCTCTAAACTCCATTACGAGTTGCTCCCCTGGTCTCAACCCCCCTCTGACAGCCGCTGCTCCCTTCCTGTCATTTAAGCAGAGCCAGATTCCCTACCTTGCAGCAGCTCGTTTAATGAAGTCCCCTCTATAGCAGCTATTAACAACATATTTTCAGGAAACACTCGATGGCTGCTAATGGCCAAAGGGGGATTTTAAATGTCGTGTTTGCAACTTCATAAATGATGTTATTACTTTAACAGACAGATGAAAAACAAACACATCAGCCCTTATTGTTTAAAAGGAGGCGAGTCTTACCTGAAGCGTACAGCGTTGCATAGAGGTGTGTCCCCATAGCGATCTTTTGCATAGACTGTAGCCCCATTACTCAGTAGGTACTGCACCAGTTTGAGGTGGCCCTCACAGGCAGCAATATGGAGGGGTGTACGTCTGTCATAGTCACCCAGACACAAGTTACTGCCCTGTGACGAAGACAGACATGAAAATATAAGTGTATCTCTTATTGTCAGCACATCTAAAATTGATCCACTCGAATGTTATCGGTGAGATCAGAGCCAGATACAGCTTCTCCCTATGTGCCATTGAACTTAAACTAAAGACATTATAATAAATCACACAGTAAGAGACAGACTGTTTTCCTTTGGGACGTGCTGACAATAACAAAAACACAGAATATTGTCAGCCTTACCCTTTAATAAACTGTGCAATTTCTGTAACCCTCTTTATTACTGTTCAGCAGCACACGTAAAACAGAGGCAACAAACAAATAAATGAGGAGTAGGAGGATAAATGAAAATCAAACTGAAAAGGAAATCCTTATGGACGAGGTTCATCACAAGCAGCGAGAAATGTACTACACGATTTCTTGTGGGTGTGAACACATCGCATTTGGTAGCAGAATCTGTCGACAGAAACTGCAGGCTAATCCGAGCAGCCACTGCACACAAGTGGAGCCGCATACATACATGTACACGTGACCGCTGGGGCGACTCTAGGCCTGCCTTACCAGTCTAGCCTCATGTTTTGTTTGGCTGTGCGCCTGTGTATGTCTTGTGCCCCCCTCTAATACGGAAACAGTGACCCTGGGAATTTGTTGGTGAACCATCAGGTTTACCTGGGTGCGCTGACCCTACAAAACAAACATGGTGGAGACAAGTCTTGTGAAACGCTGCTCTGATGGCATGAGAGTGTAGCGCTTGGGGTTGCTTACCATTTCCTTTAGGGCTTCGATGGCCTCTATGTCACCGATCTTAGCAGCAGCACATGCCAGCAGGGGGGTCAGGGCATCACGGATGGCTTCCAGTTCCTTTAGAGACCACAGACTTTAATTTAAAAAATGCTACTTGTCTGCATGTGGAAAAATGAAGGAACTTCACCTTTTAAACATGTTTTAGAATAGTCTTTGCATGAGTGCAATCATGACAACCTTTACAAACATGTCTGCACTTTGTCTTCACTAAACTTGTCAAAGTAGTTACATAATCGACTTATTTGAAATTTTTAAATGCGAGTTTGCTTACATAAGAAGGTCACCAACTTTTTAGTCAACATGATCCCAGAGTAAATAGCAGGGTTTTCCGGTCTATCATAACCTGGGTGCAGGGTTTTTTTTCACAGCACCAAAGCTGAATGAACAGGAAAAAACTATGCTGAGCCTGAAACACACTCATTGCTGTCATTTCTAATTGTGCGCTTCTCTGGTCATAGCTAGATGGTAACCCCAGATTTGCGCAAACCACGAGGAGATTTCATGTTCCATATTTAAAGTCATCATTTTAACCCAAACCATTATCTTTCTGTAACCCTCACCAAGTGCTTTTTGTGCCTAAAAACGCGGCGTTGACACACCATACAACAGTGAGACATGAATATTGTCAAGCAGCTTGCAAGTGTTTCATAAATCTAGGATTACTGTCTTGCCATGGCCTGCTTCTATCCTCTCATTCATTTCACACACTTACCTATGTTTTATTTATTTAGGATATTTTAATCTTCTTTTATTGCAAGAATTAAAAGTTTATTGCTCTTTTACAGGGTGTACTCGCATTATTATGCCATTCAATTGTATTTCTCAAACAATGAAAAGAAAAGGTAGCTTATTGTTTGGTGAAGTAATGGGTAGTTACACTATTTAAAGTTTCCGTATTGGTGGTGGCCTCACCTCCTTGCAGCTGATGCTCAGAGACTTGGCGATGACCTGGATGAAACGGCTGTCGCTCAGACATAGCTTGGCTCCTGCCAAGTCAGCGCTCATCTCACCTCGCAAGTTCTGAGCCATCATCTGGACAGAGTAACACACACACACATAATTATTATTGTAACATACATGGTGATCCTTTAAAACATCCTCTCTACAAAGAATAAAGTGTTAGACACCAACCTTTTTCTTGGTTTCGAGCTCTGTATCCTTCTTGGCCAATACGTAGGACAGCTTTGACAGGGCAGCCTCTGGAGTCATGTCACCACCAGCTATCAACCCTGCATCCATCAACACCTGAGAGGTCATAGAAAATTTGAGATTTCATTGATTCACTTTTACTTGAGGAATTTATCATTCACAGGGTCAGGATTGACTAGTAGGTAACATGACGTGCCTTGCCAGTGGCGTAAGACGCAGACACGGTCCCCCTCAGACACTGGGTGCAGTTGATAATGATGACACCAGAGTCTGTGGCCTTCTTTAGCTCCCCCAACAGGTCAGGACGGTTATCGGGGGCATTTCCGCTGCCGTAGGTCTCCAGGACCACACCCTCCATGGGCGGCTGCAGGAAAGCCCTCACCTGGACAGAGACACACCAATAATTCACATTACAAACTCCCATGATCTACTACTAATTGAACTGGCCTCTCAGCTGTGTGGAATCAAATTGAGGAATTAGTATTCCATGTTATTTTTCCTGCAGCACCCTTTCACTCCAATGCACGAGACCGTCCACTCTCCTAAAAGCCCATCTGGTGCCGTCTATGCAACCAGTATCTCAGTCACTGGTTGGCTGGCACCAGGAGGCCCTATACCACATCATTAGCCATGGCGTATGACTAGAATGGCAGATGACTGAAATGGCAGGAAGGAGAGCAATTAATCTGAAGGTGTTAGCAAGCAAAAAGTCACTTGGCAAGACCAAAGCAGTTACCATAAAATGTGGGAAGAAGGTGACATTAAAAGTGCCAGGTTCGGTCAGTATTTTTTGATGTGATAAGCAGTTTGACAAGAAATGTTTGGACGCAGATTACCAATGAAGCTCGCGTACAGCAGAGACAGCGGGCACACGAGAGCCTGGTGCCTAATCAAAACAGTGCCTCATAAAAGGCAGTTAAAAGGCTGTAAGGAAGTCTTGATAGCCGAGCTGGGCAGTGGGAGCAGATTGAGACAGTAAAGTCACTCTCCCAGCAGCTTCTGCAGGGGGGAGGTGCAGCTAAATGTTACAGTATCTATGCCAGTCCTCCCTCTTTACAGGGTGATTGGTCATGGCCCATAACTCCTTCTCATCCTTCTCCGGGCTGAGCTTTGATGCCAGTTTACATGACCGGGAAGGTAACGGAAGACGGATAATAGCACGATTAAATTAAAGTTAACTATATTTTATTGCAGTTAGACAAAACAGCAGTTTTGAGCAGTCAGTTACCTTCGAAGAACATATCTCTAATTGCATTTTAATGCACTGAGAAGAAAAACTTGAAATGTGAAGCATGCTGGTTACATTTCTCATTTACTCCTTTCATTATTTAACAAAATATAACTGGTGTAATTAACAATAAATAATGGAATAGCATATGATTATAATTTTCAGATAAAGTGACCACAAAGGATTGTGCAAATAATTATATTTAAAGCAGGTAATGAGTGTCTGGAGCGCACCACAAACAGTCTGGACATGTCAGTCAAGTGTGTGCAGGAAGCAATACATCAAACCATGAGCTGCTCAATAGTTCCCCAAAGAGAAACAACACCTATCAATTATTCTGTTGTGTGACATGTCAACTAAAGACCAAGGACAAAATGTGAGCTCTGAAAATTAGGTGGTTGTTACAGAGTAAACATCTCTGGTCCATTTCAGAGTCAGAGCGACTTACAGTAGCAGCAGTGATCCCTGGGAACAGCCTGAGCAGGCCCACGTTCCTGTTCAGCTCAGTGCTGACTTGAAACTTTGCAGTAGTGTTTGCTCTCCACACTGTATCCCAGTTGACTAAAAAGGAAAGGATTGAGAAAACAGATTTTAAATGAAGGAAAGTGACATTTATTTTCCACACAAAAACAGACCCGTTCCACCATCAGCTTACTTGTAATGTCCACTTCAGCAGTGGCCAGAGGAGGCAAGTTAGGGGAGGCGAAGGCATTGAAACTGCCGGTATCCACCTTGGTCACACGATTCCCTCTGTAGAGTTTGTTGTGGAAATACAGACCCACCTGAATTGGACAAAAATACATTGAACGTACATTTGCTCTTCTGTGAAATCCCTTTAATTCCACAGGACTTCATATGTAAATGAAAACCTGCGTGTAGACCTGTAAAGATGGCATTGGTTTATCATTACAGTTCCAAAACAGTGGGCCAAATCTTACACACAAATCCTCCATATAAATAGCAGTGTGGGGATGGGAGATGATGATTAGTTGAAATCATGTTACGCCCAAAAATCACCTATGATTATTTGTGTTTTACTTTGCACCCCGATTATCACTGGTTAACCACCCAAAGTGGAGTTGGGCATGCCTTTAATGCACTTGTGTCATGTACTTAGACCATGCGTTTTAGATTGTTTAAATAGGGCCCTTAGTCTTATTAGTAGACTCACTCAGTGCAGTATAATTAAAGTCAATAGACAGATTTTTTAGTGCACTTCAGCCATACATAAGTAGACATAAATAACACCTTTAAGTGTTCTTCCTTTTCTGATAATTGTTCAGTATTGCCAAACCCTGTCATCAGGAAGCATTCTCATCAGACAAGTTATTTAGGAGTGCTTTTATTAGCTTTCACATGCCACAGTGCTGACACCTGACTTTCTAGAACACACCATATTCTCTCAGCACATATACAAACATATAAGGTTATAATATTACACTACTGGTGTTCATCTTGAGTCCCATTTTTAATCTGTCTCTCAAATTCAACCATTCTTAATTTTCCCTCTTTGAGACTGCCAAATTCATTTTCTCTAACAATAATATGGTGTAGGTGAGTAGCATTCATGTCCCATCTCCATTTCCTCACCTCAGGAATAACAAACTGGCCGGCAATCAGCAGCGCCCCCAGCAGGTTGTCTCTGCCGTCATTCCTCATCTCATAGATCGGCACCTGAAGACAGAGCGAGTCTTATCTTAAAAGGGCAATAAAAAATGTTGCAGACGCATTCTGTCTTTTGTTGGTTATATCCTGGAGGACAGCAGCTCTTACCTGTGATCCGGTGAGAATAATTGGTTTGCCCAAATGTTCACACATAAAGGACAGGGCAGAGGCTGTGTAAGCCATCGTGTCTGTGCCGTGGAGGATCACAAAACCATCGTAGTTTTCATAGTTTTTCTAAACAAGGAAAAAGAAAACAAGATGTGGATCATTATAGATGGCAGCATAAATGCAATCACCATTTTTCTACCATATGATAAGCTGTACTTTAAGAGCAATGTCAATATTATAGGATTGATTGATGGGTTTTAGAAGCAGTGAAACCTGACAGTGACATGGATTCAGCAGCAGGTACCTCAATGTCCTTTCCAATCCTACCCCAGTCATCTGTGGTCATATTGGAGGAGTCCAGCAAAGGGCTGTACTCCAACACATTGTAGACTATCCTCTTATTGTCTTTACTCAGCCTGGAACAGAGAGACATTTAACTGTAAGTGTCTGTTGTTACAAAGTTTGATTATCATATATACAAAAAAAATAAAACAGAACCAACAGTCCAAAATAAATCAGTAGTTTTAGTCTCTGCAAGCAACGACGTTCACTCCAAAACACATAAAGGACACATGGTTAAACAAACAATTGTTATCTTCACTGTGACGAATGATTATTTCTCTTCATTGTGCTCTTTTAACAAAGTTGGATCGGGTTCTGGTTACATTTGAGAAGTGAGTTTAAAGAAGGGTGAGGGAATGCTCAAAACCAAGCTGACTTTATGAAGCGAGACAAAGTCTATTTAGCCGGGCCTTCTGTCTCAGCAGCAGGGTGCCAAAACCTGTTTCAGACACACAGAGAAAAAATTTTCTAAGTGTAAAAGGGAGGGGCATGGTTGGAATACTCTTAAAGAGCATGCCGTTTCTCCTCTCCACAGTGAAGACTTAATGTTCTGTGGAGCCTCACCACTGTTTATGGTAAATACAGGCGAAGCCGAGGAACATTAAGTGACTGGTTTGAAATATGTTGAGGGTTATTTGGTGACTCGTTTCAGGTCATGGCGAAAGTCCATGTTTCTTTGTCACCCCAATTACAAGACAGGGAGCCTCACATGTATACATATTTATGTCGCCTCTAAATGGAGTTTAACTCCGTCATCCCGCGCCCCCACCTGCCACACTCCATATAAAGCAGCATGACTGGCTAAACAGCCATGGAAAGATTTTCTTTTTAATCTCCCTTTTAAAGAAACAGAGCAGGACACCCCCCACATTACCACAGGGCAGCCTTATAACATGAAGATAGACACTGAATGGAACAGCAGGGGGACAAACACGCAAGCCCCAGTTCACCCAACCAGGGGTCCTACAGACACCCTTCTAATTAGCTTTAAGTCCACACAAGACCCTGGAACATATGTTGTTGATAATCTTGAAGCCAAAGTGCCACTAGGAAACACTATTCAAATCACCAATTATTCATCTATCTTGGAGTGTACCCTAAGGTGTAGCAGAGCTACACATTAGCATACCCGTGCTAAGATGCCTCATAGCTTAAGAATAATGAATGTCTGTGTGTGTATGTGTGTGTGATTGGGGACTCAAGAAGTGGAAGAAGAGGATTGGAGTTGGGGGGGGCAGACGGCCTTGTGGCATTGCCTCTCAACATCACATGAATAAAGCTTTTCAATAAATCAATAAACTAATTCCCTCCTTCAACATAGGCCGGGCAACTGCATACGATCAACAGTACTAGACTTGTATATGAGCCTGCTTCAGTTGATATTAACGCTACGCCAACTCAAGGATGAGCAAACATTAAAAAGTGAATCCAGCTCTCACCTAAATAAATAATTTAATAAAACATGCTCACATGTTCATGTTAGAATAAATATTAATATAGTGTTAGCAAAGTTTTGATATTAGTCCATGTAAACTGATTGCTAACCTAAAAAGGTCCAGTGTGTAGGATTTTAGGGGCATCTACTGGTTAAAATGGTTTACAATATTTATAACTATGTTTTCATTAGTTTATAATCATCTGAAAATAAGAATCGTTGTGTTATCGTTACCATAGAATAAGCCGTTCATATCTACATATGGAGTTGGTCTTCTTTTACAGAGTTTGCAGTGTTTTTTCTACAGTATCCAAGAATAGACAAACCAAACACTGGCTCTATTTAGTGCCATTCGTGTTTTCAGCCACTGCAGTTCTCCTACACGCTTTGCACATGTGAAAGGTTTCAGTTCTGCGACCTCACCACTAGATGCCACTCAATCCTACACGCTGGACCTTTAAGACAAACAGGAAGCTCTTGTATTTGCTAGAGGCGTGAAAACAGTTCGAGGCTCAAGATGGTAAAACTTAACAGTGCTCCAACATTATTTATCACAAGCCTTGTTAACAGATCACAAACCTCACAGTTTCAACACTGCCTGACGTATGGATACTTTATCTTTACCATACATCCCACTGCTGCTCAGCCAATTTTCATGGTGGCAGTCAACATGAAGGGGATATGGAAATTAGTGAGCAAGGGTACATTTCTGCCAGAGACACCCCCACTGTCACTGACAATTACTGCAATTAAGAAGCCGTTGATCAGCTGGGGAGGCCCATCACAAGGGGTTCTGCTCACACTGTTCCACATGCACTTAGACATCAAGACGCTATGGATTAAAGAAACAGCAATAGAGTAGATTAGCCTTGCTTTTCCCAGCATGCTAGCAGCAGCTTTCCACAAACTAAACCTCGGAAATCTCAGCTGGACCACTCCTCTGCCACGCATTAAAGCAGCTGGCTCGTTGGTGACAGAGGTGACATTAGCAAGATGTAAAAATACTTCAGGCAATACACAGCTCCCTGCTCCTGTGTCCTTCCTGGTATTTACTCCTATTGCCAAAGGCCACGTCAGCATGCATTTCCTGTCAGGCAAGCACACCCAATCGCGGGTTAAGGACAACAGAGACATCACACCACTCTCAAGCAAAGTGCAGGCACACACAGTGCTACCAGCACTACAGCACCCGTGATATAGACGGCCAGCATGGGGTGTTGGCTTCCTGTTAAAGCAAGAAAAGCAGTTAAGAGTCATTAAATCCATTGAGGGCAGTGAGCTGCTTCCTTTCAGTCCAACCAGTTAATCTTTTTCTGATGAACTGTATCTTGCACTGTATGATGACCATAATACCAACTGTACTTTGGGGTATAAACTAATAGTCATAATTTTAAGATGCCGTGTTTGTTAATTCTAACATGATTTCACCTATTTGACATATGTCATTCTCTTCACACTTAGTCCTTAAAAGTAGCCCTTAAAGTGAAAAGGACTGTGATAGGCTTCCTTAGGTATTTAAGTGATAGACATTATCAACTTTACGTGTGGTAATATAAGTATAAGGAAAATGAAGAACACTGCATGACAATCCTTACGTTTAATATTAGTGATAAACATTTTGAATTTGCAAATGACAATTACCTTTGTTATTACTGTAACCTGATTTGCATACGAGTACAGCCAATAACACTTACTCACATGATAATTGTCCAGGTACCATATAATTACACTTTACTTTAAATGTTAATTAAACACTCTGAAATATTGCAGTGGAAAAAAATAAACTCTGATCACTGGGACACTGGTAAATAAGATTAATTTGACATGATTATGAAGCTGACTTTAAACGATTTAAAGTTTTTTTTTGGCATCTATAAGATAGCTACTAGAAACACTCTTAAAGTATAAGATACTTACATAAAAACAGAATATGAATCCTTACACTTTGAAAATAGTGAGTATATGGGAGTATTTTTGTTTCTTTGTACAGACATAAAAGTGCATAAAATCCAGATAGATAACAAAAAAGAAATGTGTCAGGAGAGGTCAAGGCTTCTACAACAAACCTCTCCTCAATTTAAGGAGAATAAAACAAAAACAAAAAAAGGAGAAAATGCAAAAACTAACATAAACTAAACTACCATAATTTCAAAAAAAAAAAATGCCACAAAAGAAACACACTGAGGAGAAAACTAACCAATTCGTGGACAACTATCCATTAAAAAGTAAGGAATCAATAAAACACAATGTGGAGAAAAAAAAAACAAGAAGGAAAAATATATATAACATATATGATATATACAATACAATATATAATGTATAACACACATCAAGAAATAATAAGACATCATGATTAAGTGTAATGATCATTTCCTTTTAAAGTTTTCTAAGGAAAACTTTTAAAAAAACTTTAAAGTTGTCTAATTTGTCTGAATGTAGTTATAGCTATGCGCTGACTGAGCAGGGAGGAAGTGTGGGTGCACTCACGGCAGGACCAGGCTGTTCTCAGATCCATAGTACTCATACAGGCAGGTCTGCTGGGCATACAGCTCATCGTGGAGGATGGGCAACTTGCGCAGGCCCTGCACAAAAGCATTAGCTTTTGGGGCAAGTACTGTGGGGTTACAGAAACCAAAAAAGGGGGTTATTGTAATATTTCATGGCTTGCTCTCTGAGGGATTACTGCTCATCAGTAACACTTAAGGGGAATAGGACAGGGATTTGCAGTAAGCTCAACACCAAACATCAGTCTCATACTGAACCCTAGTGGTAAATGTAAGAAATGACATTGTTGCACAGGCTGAAAAATCTCCTTTAGTTTTGATTCTTATATACTCTGAGTTCTCTGTCTGTAGGCTAGTGGAACAGGCACATTTATAAAAATGTATAACATAAAGTGAAGAACTGTGAGTACAATAGGTACAGCACCACTGCTGTTGCAGGAGAACTGCGGTTCAGTGCATGCTAATGAAAGCTGCACAAATTCCTTACTACAGTATCATAGGGAATTTATACTTCTGTGTTGAATCGACGCCATAGATACGGTGTAGGCTCGACGTCAACGTAGAGCCTACGCCGTAACTTATGTCATGTCCCGATGACGCAGACCTCCTGTCTGTTTCTGTAAGCTGAAACCAGTTCCCTCTAACTGAGAAACAACATATGGCAGCTGACAGCCACTATGATCATAAGCCCTGAGGATATCACGGGAGCTACTGTCAGAAATCAAGACTTCAGTAAGAGTAACAGTAAAAGGGGAAAATGGTCCTGCAATCATAACCATAGAGCACACACAGTATATATCCAACAGTCCAAAGTAGACTCAATTCATGTTTCAGTTACTGGGACATAGCCTTGGATTGTTTGTGTGTTAAACTGGCCAACTGAATGACCATGACTAGACATTGATGATCCCATGATGGTGTTTAACCCTAAGCCCAACCCTAACTGATACAGGAAATAATTCCTGAGCAAAGCAATAACTCTGTACCACACCTCACCTCTGACTAACAGGGAACTGTCAGCTCTATAGTTTTCTGTCTCAACCAAGCTCCTTTCTGTTTTGCTCTTTAATAACCATGCACATGGTGAATTTGGACATCTTATTCTCCAACTCTACCTCACTGCATTCTTAAAACTATAACCTCAACAAAATCTGCACGTGTTTAATGTATATACCACTGGTATGTTTTCCTGTGGACATACAGTACAGGCCAAAAGTTTGGACACACCTTCTCATTCAATGCGTTTTCTTTATTTTCATGACTATTTACATTGTAGATTCTCACTGAAGGCATCAAAACTATGAATGAACACATGTGGAGTTATGTACTTAACAAAAAAAGGTGAAATAACTGAAAACATGTTTTATATTCTAGTTTCTTCAAAATAGCCACCCTTTGCTCTGATTACTGCTTTGCACACTCTTGGCATTCTCTCCATGAGCTTCAAGAGGTAGTCACCTGAAATGGTTTTCCAACAGTCTTGAAGGAGTTCCCAGAGGTGTTTAGCACTTGTTGGCCCCTTTGCCTTCACTCTGCGGTCCAGCTCACCCCAAACCATCTCGATTGGGTTCAGGTCCGGTGACTGTGGAGGCCAGGTCATCTGCCGCAGCACTCCATCACTCTCCTTCTTGGTCAAATAGCCCTTACACAGCCTGGAGGTGTGTTTGGGGTCATTGTCCTGTTGAAAAATAAATGATCGTCCAACTAAACGCAAACCAGATGGGATGGCATGTCGCTGCAGGATGCTGTGGTAGCCATGCTGGTTCAGTGTACCTTCAATTTTGAATAAATCCCCAACAGTGTCACCAGCAAAACACCCCCACACCATCACACCTCCTCCTCCATGCTTCACAGTGGGAACCAGGCATGTGGAATCCATCCGTTCACCTTTTCTGCGTCTCACAAAGACACGGCGGTTGGAACCAAAGATCTCAAATTTGGACTCATCAGACCAAAGCACAGATTTCCACTGGTCTAATGTCCATTCCTTGTGTTTCTTGGCCCAAACAAATCTCTTCTGCTTGTTGCCTCTCCTTAGCAGTGGTTTCCTAGCAGCTATTTGACCATGAAGGCCTGATTCGCGCAGTCTCCTCTTAACAGTTGTTCTAAAGATGGGTCTGCTGCTAGAACTCTGTGTGGCATTCATCTGGTCTCTGATCTGAGCTGCTGTTAACTTGCGATTTCTGAGGCTGGTGACTCGGATGAACTTATCCTCAGAAGCAGAGGTGACTCTTGGTCTTCCTTTCCTGGGTCGGTCCTCATGTGTGCCAGTTTCGTTGTAGCGCTTGATGGTTTTGGCGACTCCACTTGGGGACACATTTAAAGTTTTTGCAATTTTCCGGACTGACTGACCTTCATTTCTTAAAGTAATGATGGCCACTCGTTTTTCTTTAGTTAGCTGATTTGTTCTTGCCATAATATGAATTTTAACAGTTGTCCAATAGGGCTGTCGGCTGTGTATTAACCTGACTTCTGCACAACACAACTGATGGTCCCAACCCCATTGATAAAGCAAGAAATTCCACTAATTAACCCTGATAAGGCACACCTGTGAAGTGGAAACCATTTCAGGTGACTACCTCTTGAAGCTCACTGAGAGAATGCCAAGAGTGTGCAAAGCAGTAATCAGAGCAAAGGGTGGCTATTTTGAAGAAACTAGAATATAAAACATGTTTTCAGTTATTTCACCTTTTTTTGTTAAGTACATAACTCCACATGTGTTCATTCATAGTTTTGATGCCTTCAGTGAGAATCTACAATGTAAATAGTCATGAAAATAAAGAAAACGCATTGAATGAGAAGGTGTGTCCAAACTTTTGGCCTGTACTGTATATTGTATTCTAGTATTGGTACGTTAGAATATTTACTGTGTATTATGGTATATTTTTGTTACTGTGTATATTATAGGTATACAAAAATGCAGGATAATACCGGCACAATATTGGTATTGGTTGGAATCAGCCAATATGCTGGTAATATTGGTACATCATCGGTATCAGCCCATCTGTTGGTGGGCCATAATTAGGTGGGGGAAAAGCGGATATATCAATACTGGTATACTACAATTAAGTTGTTATATGCCTGCATATCAGATATTGGCAAAAAATCCCAAATCATTCATCCCTAATGCTAAGGTTTTCTTTTTTACATTGATATGTATTTTCTGCTTTCTGTCATATTTGATACTGTGTTTTTACTGCATGCCTATGCAATGCCTACAATAACAGTACAAACGTGTGTTTGTGTGTGTGTGTGTGTGTGTGTGTATACAATCATCAAAACTTTTTCTTTATGGAGTGAGTAACTACAAAGTGAGTAAGACAAGACCATATCACACACAAGGTGAATGATGGATAACCTTGACTCCAGCTTGTACCTGAAGTTGGTGGGACCTTTGATTGTTATTTAGCCTCACAACATGCTCCATACTGAGAATGTTACCCAACGCCCAATGTCAACATCTAGTTATTCATTGAGAGAATCTGACGTGTTGCTTCAACTCCATCAGTTGGCTGCCTCCAGTGTGGATGGAGTCCAACTTGCTCTGTTATAATCTTTATTGAAGCTGCTGGCCCTGTTCATCACTGAATAACGGTAACGTTACATTTGTAGTAGTAACTGTTACGTAGTTTCGATTAGCATGTTAACTGTTTGCTATTCCAAACCAGTCACTTAGCTAAGAGATAAGCTGGCCGCGAGACTATTTTAGGATGCACACGCATGCTGTCACACATGGCTTACTGTATGCCTCATGCTCGCACTAACATGTGAACACACACCACACCTGCTAACTGTCTGCTGTAGCTGTGTTAGCCATGCCACAGGTGTAACAGTACACTGTACATGTTCGTATAACCATGGTTACCGTTATCATGAAGTGTCATCCCGATGGTTCCCCCGGTGTTTATGACCAGGACTCGCGCCTCGACGGCGGAAGGTGAAGTCACCGTCTCAACGTGCTCAAACGAGCTACAGCTCGACAACTTTCTCCTTCGGCACGGATGCAGAACATTTCTCGCAGGACCGACATCATTCGCCTCTATCACATTCAGAGTCGGCTGTGATAAAGCCCGCGCGAGTGATGTCAGGTTATTGAAGCTGGAGTCCGCCATGATGACTTCTGTGAGTGAGCCGCGGTGCTGCCCCTTTAAAACAGGTCGTGGAAAGTATTTAAAACACGGTGGTCTTCACGTGCAGCTGTGGGCGCGCTGTAAGACGGTGTAACGTTTCTCCGGTCTGTTACACGAAAACGTGACTCCCATTCTTTCTCATGGGATGGACTAAACAGAAGGCGGCACCATTTTTTATGTGAGTGCTGGCTTACTGTACTCGACTCCTCCTCAACAGGATCCCTGGCTGTAATTTTGCCCTTGAAGCGTTGATGCCGTGTCCACTCGACGTCACCAGTTTGGGTGTGGCCTATAAAGGGCAACAAACTTGATGACAAGTGTCTCTGCATAACTCCTGTGTGTGTCAGTGTGACGTGAAAACTGCCTGACATTATATCTGAATCATAATCACCACACCCTCAGAAAAATGATTTACGACTGTGTCTCAGTTTTTCCACTTTTAGTCAGTCTCCCACTCACGTACATTTTTTCCATAATTTTCCACTAAGGTGGAAGCTGTTGAAGAAGCAGATTAAGTCATCCCCTGCTTTACAACCCATTTACAGTCTGCCAGTGTCAGTGCCTCCTCAGCAGCAGGGCCACCCATAGTGTCTTAAGGTAGAAGCCTTATACAGATTCTTTTGTACCGAAGCTGCTGGTTGACAATATGTTGCACAATGTTCATTATCTTTAAATATAAGCACAGAAAGTATGCATTGTTATTTCAGAGAGCTGTATTCTGGTCAGGGTGGAAAAGCATCCGAGGCAGTATTTTACATGCAGTATCTACTCACTGTTTAAACTGCAACATTAGGTGTGCAAAATCTTCCAGTGGGCCGGATTAGACCCTTTGGCGGCTGGTTCTGGCCCCCAGACCACATGTTTGACTCCCCTGATATAGTGGCTATGCTATTGTAAAAGGTGACATTTCATCGTAATAACTTCATTCTTGATATTTATTCCAGCATAACTATTTTAGGGTAAACTAATCAAATTTTTTGTCACTGGAAAATAGTGATGTATGTATTTTTATTAAGTTGGACATACAAAGTATATGTGTATGCAAAAGATACTTTACTGTAATGAAGTATTATTACTTCATTACATTACAGAGCGACTTGTAGCAGAGTATTTCTACACTCTGGTACTGCTGCTATTTTTACTTTGGTAAAATATCTCAGTGGCTCCACAACTGCTTCTGTTTTGCTTATCTGAGTCAGTTATGTTGTGTAATTAACCCGGTCAGACACAAAAAAAGTTTTGTAATTGTGGATTTTTACTTTATACATTAAAGCACAATGTCAATAATCAGCAAAAGAACATTTTTTGATTAGTATACGTAATTATGTTTTTCCCCCCACCCACTTCGGAGGATGAAGGTTCCACCTAATAGGAAAAATGACAATAAATGGTTTTAACAGACCTTTTTTTCAACAGAAAAACATAATATTATTTATTTTTCATTAATGGCTGACTCAGATCAGTGAATAAAAAGATGCTTTAAAACACACTGCATATATAATTTGTATTAACCTCATCATCATTACTCAATAATCAATCTTTTTTACATGTATAAGTAATATTACATCTCATGTTTTCTTTAACTGTTCAAACACAAATTATGCACTTTAACAATATGATAAATAGATTGAAATGTGCCTTGACTGCTCCTTGCCTCATGGTCAGCCATGCTCTTCAAAAAAAGGGGCGTGGTTCTACTGCAGTCCCCTTTAGATGATGTATGACACTGTGATGGGTTTACAGACATCCCATCAGTGGAGTCAGGTGGCAGTAACACATTCTAGAAAAGTTATGTCCATTGTAATGGATGGTGATGTTACTGGACAACACATCAGTAATCCAAGACTACAGGTATACCACAGTGTAAAACACTCATTGTATCTCTGCATTAGAACTCACTAGATTAAAGATACAAAACTTTTATCTGCAAAATGCACTTCCTTGTCAAAAGTACTCATTATGCAGAGTGGCCTTTTTATAGTGCTGTGGTATTGTATATATTTTAGCTTGTTGCATTATAATAACACATGTAACATGACATGTGGAATGTAAAGCAATTACTGCTGTATTTCTGTGCATCTCTTAACTCTTAGTAGTTTTTACTTGCATTTCTTACTTGCATCGAGTGAAGTGATATTTCCAGGACACACTATAGGATAAGAGGTGATCATGAAGAATAGGATAAATGTTACCTGAGGGCTCCAGGGTATTGTTGCAGCAACATATCTGACAACTTGCAGGACATATCTTGAATAAAAGTAGGTTTGTCTTCCAGAATCCAGAGGAAAAAAAGGTTTGATTAAGGAATTATTTGTTGTTAAATACTAATATCTGCCACATATCTGTTATATCAAATGACTCAATAATCATCATTTCTCTAAGTGACTTTGTTTGTTTGTGTCTGAAGTGAGCCACACTTAGTGCACTCCATCTCAGTTTATTAGTAAATTAAACAAATATGATTTAGCTGTTAATGAACTGTGATCTGAGTAAGACTGTAAAAATCAGTGGATTCTGTAAATGTTGAAAAACATTGGCTAATGTCACATGCATGTAATGATTAACTACGAGGGGATTAGAAGAAGAAGTAAAAAGTTTAGTTAAAGTTTTGGGGAGGAAAGCTACACGAGTCAAACACAAAAACAAGGTCAAATGTATCACAGGTTGCCAAGTACCAAGTACCACAGCCAGCTGGCTAAGTTCACTATTGAAATGAATGACTGAATCACTGTAAAGAGACAGCAGTCAGCAGTTTGACATTGCAGGGGAACAGGGTGGTGTAGAGGGAAAAGCTTGCCCAACACCAAAAGTAGGACCAAGTTATGTCTCAAGTTTTAGCGTTCAAGTCAGGACAGGCAAGGTCCTGAACTTTGAGTTTAAAGTCCTGAACGAGTCATGATGTCCTCTTCACCAATAAATCATGACTGCTTTTTAAAATTTGTATGTATTTGTTAAAAATAGTTTGTTGGTAGCTGTAGCGTCTCCATCTGTAATTTTTGACCTACACAGATTGCATACTGCAATTTGTTTTTTGTTGACCAGTTTTTTAACGCTAATGAAATTATCTTTGGTATCAGTTTTTCCAACTGACACTCACGTTAGTTCCTCATGGTTATCTCCTGCAGCTTGATTGGATGCTGTCAGACTGGTGGGGAAATGGATCTGGGGAATTAAGTGACAACTTGAATAGCATTAACATAAGTTGATTTAGGAAATTAAGAGGAATTAAGTGGTTTAAATAACATGCTTTTTATTCTTTGGGCTCGGGGGAAGGGGTCAAGTATTTTCAAGTCAAAAGGCTCAAGTCCAAGTAAAGCCATGAGTCATTGGTGTTGAAGTCCAAGTCGAGTTACAAGTCTTTTTTGATTTTGTCCAGTCTAAAGTCATCAAATACCACACCTCCGTCTAACACTAGTCCAGGTCTAGTCCCCAGTCACCATTGTTGGGAAGGTTACTTTTGAAATGTTATAGGTTACAGAGTACAAGTTACCCTGTTAAAAAATGTATTAAGTGTTATAACTATTTAATTACTACTGATTACATTTGATTACTTTTTTTTCAATTACTTTTCTAACAGATATTTTAAACTGGGCAATAAGGCTGAAAAATGTCTGGAAACAGGCTATGCCAAAAGAAGACATTCCTTTAAAGTGAAAAGATTCAAAGCATCAGAATGAATGTTACACTCTACACATGAACTTCTCACTGGAAAGAATATAGTTTAATGCATCCCCTTTGTAATCACCAACACTTTGATTAGTAACTGTAATTTAGTTACATGTTTTTTTCTCAGTAGCTTTAACTAATTACTGTTATGTTTATTTTGTAATTTAACTACTGTAACTAGTTACACTGTTACACTGCCAGTCATAGGCCATGAAGATCTGGGCTTGAGCACAACTGGATCTTGTTTTGTCACTGCACTTACAAGTTGGTCAAAGTACCTGTTTGGAGGGATTTGGAATATGGGGGGGACAAACAAACTTATATGAGGAGCTCATATATGGTTGTCTACACCGTCACCTATAAAAACAAGGTAAACAAATCAACTGATACCAAGTTAAGTTTCTAGTACAATATAAAAATGAATAAGTTGTGAAAACTCATCCAAAGGCAACAAACTACTGAATTCATCACAAAGTTGCTCCCTGGTGAGCAACACAAAACAACTGTCCGTTGACTGATGTAGGACAAATAATGAAAGTGGAAGATGCCAAAAGAGTGAGGAGTGGTTGATGTGCATGTGTATCTTTAGCATGGTTTGCATCATTTCACATTGATTTATATATTTCTTAATCATTTTTGAAGGATTTTTTATGCCTTTATTACACTTAGAGAGATGACAGGGAATTCAGGAAGGGAGAGAGTGGGAACAACATGTAACAAAGGACTGAACACACATTGGGGATATTGCTGTATTGTCAGTGCCCCTATAGGACCCATATTGTTTTCAACATACAGAAGACTATGAAACCAATGAGACTGTCCAGTCTGGTATGAACTAAATATTGAGTGAAATCTGAAGTCATAGGTCCTTATTACAGCAGACGCTTGTCATAGTGGGAAAAGCACAGGTGAAACAAAGTTTGTTAAGGATGGCTAAGTCGCATCAAGTGTCCAGGTGAGCCAGCATGCACAATCCCAGAACTCTAGTGATGGCTTACCTAAATGGAATGCAGTCATCTTTAATGGTATCAGTGACACCTGTGCTTTTCCTTCTATGACATGACAAAACCTCTGCTGTGAAAAACATCTATGATAAAAAATAATTTCACAGAACATTCTCTCTTCGAAACAACTCTTTAGAAACCAACATGGTTTGTTTGTTTAATTTTTCCTAATATCCTTTTAACATAAATTTCTAACAACTAGTAAACCTCACTTCTGCCAAATGCTATTTTAAACTTTCTGTTGGAGTCAAACCCTAAAGTCAGAAACCTGGTCATTTTTAATCATGAGAAATTAAAACAGAAAATACATTTTGAAGAGGAGATGGCTGCACATCAAGCTCCAATGTATTTATTGTATCACCACCAGCTTTTCATAGACACACACACATCACCTGATCCAATGAGTGACATCATCACTCAGTGAGAAGGTACATCTGAGTTTATCCCAAACATTTATTAATATTAGAAAATAATTGAAAAACCAGACAAACATCAACATCCATCAACATTTTGACAAAAATTGGTATAAAATAAAAGCTCATAAAATATGTCCCATAACATTCGTCTTAATAACTCAACATTAAAATGCT